ATTATATTCTTACATCAATGAAACAAAATAATGAATCAAGTAAAGAAATAAGCAAAAACAGTCATATAAACAAAATGATCAGGTTTAACATAAGTAAACAAACAATGCATGAACCAAACAAACAATGCATGAACCAAACAAAACCAATGTGTTTGGCTGCAAACAAATGAAAATATAGCAAATTAGTAAATCAATCAGTAAGAACATGAAACAATGTAATAATATATAAGAACGTAGTATGTGAAAAGATTGTTTAGGAAATGTACACCTTGTTTTGAAGAAATACATTTCAAACCGCTACCATTTGCTCACGGTGACGTTCGCACCAAGATATGTTTTGGCCGAGATCTTTATGAGGCGCGGTGAGAGGCATATTACTGTTGACTTACTTGCTGTGGATAGAGGGTAGCCATTTAAACGGGAGATTTGTCAGGTATCATATACAATAATTGTAGGAGTGTATTTCATGTATAGATACCTTCAATGTGTGAAGTCCTGTCTATTGTTTTGTCATGACACTAGCAACAAGCCTCACACCTTATCGGACCAATGACAGCCTTTCTTCTCTCCATACAGTTGCAGTACCATGTGCCTTAGCTAGTGCGCAAGCTCTAGCCGGCAGTTGCAGTGCTATAGCCGGGACAATCACACATGCCAGAAGCCGTGGTCACAGCTGACTGAAGCCTCCCGGTCACAGAGCTGATCATGACAACTGACTCCAGTCTCCTTTGTGTAAAATTGTGTTTCGATATTGTTGATGATGGTAGAAGAAGCATGTTGATATCATATGTGTATTAAGTAGTAGCATCGTCGACAGAAAGAAGGAAACATGGGAAGGAACCAGATCAGTAGCAGAGCCATCACGTGCAGGCTATATAATACATTGCTAGCCACAGTAAACCTTACACCAGTTAGAGATTACTGGGGTGACTTACATACGTCTGTACTACGATGATACATTGCCTGTGTTTTACGGTATCTTAGTGTATATATTGTAATGACCTATTTTATATGTATTTAGAAAACCTCGCCAATGACGGTTCAAATCGAATCGAGGAGAATGTACACATTTTAAAAACCATGAAGATGCTGAACAATCGGTGTATATGGGAGCAGTGGTACGATTGCACTCTCTAACTAACTTGTAAGAACATGATAGTGCAAGACCTGATGAAACTCCGAACAGTTCCATTGTAATTACTTAGACAGTTCTCTGTTATTGTAGTCCCTGTTATTGCTCCGGTTACAAATATGTTTGTTTCTTTGAACAAATGTATTATTCTTTGCTGAAGTGATGTACCACTGTTATGCGGTAATACAGAATACCATGGAGGTATGAGAATACTAAGTATAAAGACACAGGATTTCTTCAACAAGGGACGCCAGTTCAAGAAGCAAAAGATAACTCAGTTAAGACTGAAAGGGTTAACGTATCCAGTATCATATAGTCATATATATAGCCAGTCCGTCTTAAAAGTCTCCCGTGCCCAGTGTGCGGAAAGCCTTGTCTCTGCGTCTTTCCTTTATCCTCACATAGTTGCATTGAAAAGAACTTTATAATTCATCCGTTGGGTTTATGTCCAAACACATACTTCATAAAGAGAAGGAAATCTACTAGAAAAAAACAACAACCAAACGCGGTAACATATTGGTTTATATTCAGACAGTCACGACATCTCCTTTAAAACATTGAAAAGAACTTTATAATTCATCCGTTGGGTTTATGTCCAAACACATACTTCATAAAGAGAAGGAAATCTACTAGAAAAAAACAACAACCAAACGCGGTAACATATTGGTTTATATTCAGACAATCACAACATCTCATTTGAAACATCTGACTTCAAATGCTGACCATGTTCAATTCCAAACAATGATCCTGACCAAGCTGTCGAAAAAGCTCCAAAGTCATTGAAAAACGGCTTAACAGCTGGGAGGGAAGACCTCACCCGCAAGGTGTTGCCAAAAATGAATTCCCTAGGGAATGCGTGCGTGGAATATTTAGAATTCCTGGCAATTCAATCGCAGTACTATACTAAGGGCTCCGCCCCTGAGGCGTCGCCAAAAAGCCCTGACTATATGCATGATGTACAAAATGACTAATAAACTGGTGGATGTACCAATCACTAAGTATCTCATACCAGCCGAAAGAAGGACAAGGAACAGTCATGCCTTCAAATATCAGAGTTATCAACCGAGAACTGAGGTGTTCAAAAACACGTATTTTCCAAGAACTATCGTAGAGTGGACCTCGTTGCCACCAAGCACAGTTGGGGCATCAATAGAAAGCTTTAAACAACTCCTGCAACTAACTGCAAAGATTGAGTGTAACGAGTCATTTGGTGTCATATAGCTAGCTGCCACCACGCTGCGTGCCTGCGAAACAGGTGTGTTACGCCAAAGGGCGGTTATACTGGCTATACTGATACTAAATTATGCTAAATTTTTGTCCGCCATGCATCCATCGGCCCCACAGCTATTTGGTAGGGGCAGCATAACATTTTAAAGATTTCCACCTCCACCTCTTGATGTTAGCATCAAAATAAATGTCTCCTGAAACTTTCTTTGTTGTTTTGCCAACAGTAAAAGGAAATTTTGAGATAGCACCCATAATACAGAAATTATTGAATGATGAAGTGAGAATTGATATCAGTATCAGTGTTTACTGACCCTGTCTATCTCAGACTTGGGGACCCCTCTCAGTTTGGCGTAGAACTGCAGGTGCTCTGTGGCCGTCATCAGAGGGTCCAGGGCATCAAACTGTGGGCAGTACCCCATGGACTGGTGGACATCACGCATCTGAGACAGAATACTGGGGAGCAAAAGATGTTAACCAGTCATTAATTACTGAGGACAAGTTAGACTCTGGCAACTCAATGTAATCAGGGCTTAAATTATGTTATTTGGTCTTGCACAAATTTTCATTTACTTCCACAACCTAAAGTTTCAATTAGAATGTTAGCACAGTTTCTAACTACACTGTGTTAATAGAAGTTCACTTCTCAGTACATGCTGATATGTGTAGGTCCATATGGAGCAGATAATAGCAAATGGGAAACAGTCATTTTTATTCATACATCTTTTTTACCTTTACTGCATGGATATTTCTTGGGATTACAATTGTCTGTAAAGCTGCTTAATGTAGTCAAAATTATATGCACCCCTACAATAAATTCACTTGCACAAAGTGGTGATTTTAAGGCAAGGGGTAATTCGAGCCCTGTAATAGACTAGGAAAAATTCCTACAATGCATGTGGGAAAAACACAGAATTGATTACAATCATTACTGATGGTAAATGTTATTACACCAGTCAAACTAGTACGTAGATATAGAATAGGAAAATTTAATGCAACAACCAAGTTTGAAGCAGCCATCTTACTTCCGAACCTGCAAAGCAGAATACTACAGCCAGATGGACACAGGCATACATGTACATCCCTGGAGATCAGGCATTAAAAGTACTTGCTGACATTTTGACCAGTAACTCCAAGGACATAACACTTATTATAATCAGTTCAACACACCTGTAAGAGTTGAGCCAGGCCTGCCCACTAGTCACAGAGGTGTCTCCAGTTAGCATCTTGAACGTGGTGGTCTTCCCAGCACCATTCACTCCTAGCAGTCCAAAACACTGGCAAAGAGGAACATTACTGTAACAATGTTTGGTTGCTACATAGCTTAAGGGTCTATTGTCCTCTTTGATGACTGTTTAGCAAGAGGAAGTTTTCAGAAACAAAAATTGTGATCCAGAACAGCAAAGGACTGTTGTACATGTATTATGCATGTCCACTAAAGGAGAAAAGAAATTAAAAGAAACAGAAGAAAATAAAAACTGTTGATCACTACTCAAATACCCCCTTAAACTGTTGCATCAGTATAAATGGCATCCAGCACAAAGTACAGACCTGCTGTTAGCAAAAATTGCATTCAACACCAAGGACCTGTAAGTGTTCTCTCCTGATACTCAACACCCCCTACCTCCCCAGCTGGAACAGCCACAGAGATCCTGTCCACTGCACGGTTCTTCCTGCCACGGGACTGGTACACCTGACAAAAGCAGGGAAAATCAGTCATTTTACCTTAAAATTATGGGTTTCCAAACAAGTTCGGCTTAGCATGAAAGTTCAACTTTGTTGGTAGTAAGTCCCAATTTACTTAGTGTTGAAACATTCAGTTTTTCATCATAAGATTATAATGATCAGTTCAAGGCCTATATTTTGATCATTATGGCCTCAAATAATATCAAAATTAGTAAGCAGCATCTACATGTACAATCATGTCATGTACTTTCTGTTGCCTATAATATGGAAGAACTCAAATTTGAAATTAATTTTACAGTAATTTCTTCATCATTACAGCTCAACTGGTAGTTGTGACCACCTCTGCATAAGGCCATTGTAGCCACTGCTTGGACAGCCCCTTGATGTCTGTCAACAGCATACTTAGTAACTCGAGAAGGCTTGGATGGATGTCTTGATATTTGGTAGGTGGGTAGATCTTGATGAGACCTAAATGATTAGATTTTGGGACCCCTAGTGGCTTGTTATGGTACTGCAGTATAACTTCAAGCTATGGTCCCGACTTTTGATAGCTCTTGTGCTTGGGAACAAGTGATGTGAGTTTGGACCCCCCCTAGCACCTTGTTCTGGAGTGTTTGTTGAAAAATATTCTGAGAACTCAACTGGTTGACCAATCGTCATGATTCTTGGTAAAGTTCATGTTCATGTAGGCAGCTTACAGCGAGTGATGCTTGACATGATTAGATGGAAATTATGCAAATTAGGACCTAATTTGCATAATCAATGAGGGAATTTTCCTTGGTACCTTCCAAGACTATTCAAACTTGTGTCACATGATATTAAGAAAAAGAGGAACATTGCTAGATATTGATTAATCTAAATGGAGGCCTACTTTGCATAATTAATAGTAAGTTTATTTACTTATTATTAATGAGAAAATGATATAATTCAATAGTGGTAACTGCTGGGAATTTCATACTTAAGGCACTAGAAAGTTAATTACGGGTAAACATCATTTAACACAACTTATTCAATTACGGACCTCATTTGCATAATGTATGATGAAATGCTAGAATGGCATCTTTCTTGAGATAGAATTGTCATTGGGTGCAGAATATGATACACTAATTTGATTCATGCAATGAGAATCTATTTGCATAAGGAATTTGCATCAATGAGGGAATGTATAATTCACAATGTCAGTAAATATGTAATGGCTAACATAATTTGGCAAAGCTACTGGTGTGCTTGAGGGTTTAGGTAATATTGTCACCCATTGATAAAAGTTTGAAGAATCCTGTCTTACTTTGGTGAGTTCGTCCAGCACCAGTAGGTCCCCCTGTGTCTCTCCCCTGGACACTCGCTCTCTCTCTTCAGCAACATCCTCATCTTCATCCTCCAGGGCTGGAGCATTACTCTTAACTTTCCTGCAGGGAGCAAAACAACATTTCAGTAATGTATTATATACGTTATATAATAGAGTTGATTCAGTCCTTACATGTCAGCTAACTGATATAAATGTATAGCACACTACAGTCATCACTTTGTAGGACATCTGGAGTCACATACATGTACATGTAGTTCCTGTGTAGAGAAGCTAACCACCGGAGGTCAGAAGCTCAAAACTGAAATGAATAAAACACATTCATTCTATGATATTTCAGTTTTTTGCTGCACCCCCAAAAACTGCATTTTTTTCAGGTGTCTTATCAAAGTCTATAAAAGTGCTTTCGTAAGTGTCAAATATTCTGCTCTAAAAAACTGATTTTTGTAGCTGAACTTTGGAAAACTGCAGTCAGTTGTACAAACTACTGACATCTTACTCATGGCTACCCAGGCAAGAGCAATTCTAACCTCAACATCTTTGCTACACATATAGAACATGTAAAAGGTCCCAATATTTGAAGTCTTGCATGCAATTTAGTGGCTGTTTTGGTTGTTTTTAAGCCATGGTTCTAATGTGGTTATTGTTCCATGTTCAGTACAAAGGACAGGAGTAGTTACTATCCTTATTGTACAGTACAACTGTATAGTCACTGTGGTTATTGTTGCATGTTCAGTACCAAGGACAGGGGTAGTTATCCTTATTGTACTGTAGAGTCACTGCGGTTATTGTTGCATGTTCAGTACCAAGGACAGGGGTAGTTACTATCCTTATTGTACTGTATAGTCACTGTGGTCATTGTTGCATGTTCAGTACCAAGGACAGGGGTAGTTACTATCCTTATTGTACTGTATAGTCACTGTGGTTATTGTTGCATGTTCAGTACCAAGGACAGGGGTAGTTATCCTTATTATTTCACTCCATACTTTAGTATGGAGGGAAATACTGTTTTTACTGATGATTCTCCTCCTTCTTCTTCTTCTCCTCCTGCCATTTCTTTAAATTGATTCAATTCCTTCATTTTTGGGCCAAACGACCTGGAATTTCGTATAAAGGTAGAGTGGGTAAATACCCCTAGGCGTTTTTTATTTTTTTTGATACAAGCTTTTACAATCGTTTTATTTGCGTTTTTAGCTGTTCCCATAGGAAAGTACTGTGGGGCGTACGCGCGTGACGTAATAAGAAAGGAATTCGGGGGCGGGCCCAAATATGGGCATGCAAGCATGAACCTGACGCAGCCTAATCTTTTCTTCTTGCTGATTGGCTGTTGGATTTGATTGGATTAACTCAATTAACACCTGTTCAAAGCCATTCCATTTTGACAGTATGAACTCAAGTGTTTTGGTAGGTACAGCACAGGCCACGAAATACGCATCAATTTTCGAGGGACGTTCTGTGGGAGAGTGCAGGACGCTGTGCGGGACTTCCCTCGGGAGAGTGCGGGACGTCCTCCGGGAGAGTGCGATACGTTCTGCGGGAGAGTGCGGTACGTCCAGCGGGAGAGTGCGGTACGTTCTGCGGGAGCCAGACATTTTGCTCTTCTCTGTTGGAACAACGCAAGTTGGAGGTCAATGACCTGCGCCCGGCGTGTAAACAAGATTGGACAGGGAGCGGCTGTAATATCAAAGGAGCCGGCGGCTTCTGCTAGCCGGGTTGATAGTTAAGTAACATCAAGGTGGTTCAAAAGCAAACCTGATAAAGAAGGAAACCCCGTAGTTAATAGTTGAAAGTCTTGGTGCCTTGAAGCGATCGATACCGCCATGCTGTTTACTTTATATGACATACAATGCAGTGAGTGATGTGTATCGCAACGAGTTAGCTCGGTTGGTAACGCGCCAGACGGCAATCCCAGAAATTGTGAGTTCGAACCCCAGTGCATCGGATATTAACATTTTAAACAATTTTATCATTTTTAACAATTTTATCAGTTTTAACAATTTTATCAGTTTTAACAATTTTAACAATCCTGCATTTTAACAATTTCAACCTTTTTTTTGATTTTCGTTGTTTTGCTTTTAACATTCGAAAACTGATTGTTCTTACTCAAGAATGTCAATAACTTAGAATGTTAGTCTTTTGTATTTTCCAACATACAAACCAAAATCACTTTGATGTCACAAAAGTATGGAGCTGACAAGAGAGAATGAGTACGGTACTCTGCCAGTGTGAAGAATCTACAGAGGTATTACCAGTCACTAGTAGCAAGAGATAGACCACATTGAATGATGACGATGAGGACGAATCATATGGAGTACTATCATAGCTTAGTACAGAAATTCTACTGCTTTACTTTACTTTACTTTCTT